CACTCTAGGGCTTATTTTTGGACCATGCATAAAGGCTTTAGCATAAGTGAGAGCATTTGGTAAATGTTAAAGGATTTGGCCAAAAAATAGTATTCTATGGCACATGCTCTGGGTTTGAATTCTGCCTCCACTAATTACTGTGACCTGTTAATTACTTGTTCCAAGACTCATTTTTGTAGCTGGTGGAAACTTAATGATGATAATGATAAAACATCCTAAAGTATGTACAAACCAAAATATTATAAAGATTATTTTTTAGTCCACTGCCTGGCACAGAGTAGGAATTAATTTGTGTATGTTAGAATGGAATACACAAAACAGAATTCCATCTTCATATTTCCCATTTTTGCTGCCTGCACATGACATTACCGTATCACTCTACTTCCTAAATATGGAGAATTTTTGCTAGAAATTTTATATGTTTGGGACTATGAGGTGATTAATTAATTGAAAAATCAGTTAAAGCATTTAATAATAAGAATTATAAACATATACCTTAAATATTTTATTTTGACCTAAAACATTTAAGTAAACATTCATTCACCTGTATTTTGAGATCTGGTCAAAGCCTTTCTTGGAATCTGTGTTTGCTAACTGGAGTCCCATGCTGTCTTTCTTACAAAGCCCTTATCTATAACGTATTCCCCAGGCATTTCAGTTTTGGAACTTAAAGACATTTATGAAACAAATTGATTATATAATCTTCCTAGATGTTTTACCCATTTTGTTTTTATAATTGTCTCAGCTACCCCAAATTCTATGGTAGGGTTTTTGGTTTTTTGGTTTTTTTTTGTGGCTCGTCTTTGTCAAATCATTCCCAAAGCATTCAATTTACTTTTCACAGAAAATACAATTCTTTTTTCACACCCATGTTTATTGGCATACATAATATTTATTGAATTACCTAACTATAGTTACAACTACAGCATATGCGATACATAAATACGACAAGCATAAAGAGATTCAGCAGCAAACATACAACTGACTTTTGTTAAGCGTGCAAGTCCACTGGTAAGAGCAGACGGGAGATGCCATGCCAGAGGGGAAGGCGTAGCTGAGAATTCAGGATGCTGGGGCATGGGCTGGTTTTACAGAGGGAATGGAAGGCATGCTTGAATCGCAAAATGGAGATTGGTAAAGAGAATTCTGCATTAAAAAGGGGTTTCACAAGTAAAATAGTGGACCAAGGAAGTAGAGGGGAGGTAAGAGCAAGACATTTGTTTCCAAGTTCATTGTCTAATTAAACTCTGTCAAACCACAGAATATTACAATGGTAGAGCTAGAAAAGGCTTTAGAGAACAACTAATTCAACCCACCCACCACCATTATCTGCTAACATTTGATAGATAAGGAAAGATGGTTGGGTTTGAAATAGAAAATTCTTTACCACTGTCTAACATTAAAAATAGAAGGCAAGCAGAAGAACAAAGCTATTAGAGATGGAGCCTTAACTGTCCTTTCAAGAAAAGAGGCGTGGGGGCTTCAGGAAGAATTCCTGGACTGATGGGAAGCACTAGATTGGAGGGCTTTTGGATTCCCTTCAAGCACAAGTGGTCTACACCAAAGGATGAACGGATAGGGAATGGGAAGAGGAAGAAAGAAAAAATGGAGAGAAAATTCCATTTAATTTTTCTTTAAAAGTCAAGCTTAAAACACCAAAAACAGAATACCTTCTTCTGTAGAAAGCACTTTATGCTTCTGCAGACACACCTATGCGTATGTCTTAGCTTTTGCAAATGTTCATCAGTGGGTATGCATTTTACACAGAAATTTATTTTTGAACTCTTATAGATTTTAAATATTATCAGCTGGCAAAGGAGATAGAACCAATGTTAAGATGATCCATCCTCCTATGGCATCTTTTTCATTGCTTTTCCAGGAAAAGCAGAATAAAGTAAAAGAGAAGACTGAGATGAAGAGCTCTGTTAATCTTGCCCATCATCTGTCAAGTAACTGGTTCCAGAAATTCTGCACAGGAATTGGGGCTAACCAAAAATTGAGACCTAAACATCAAATTTTGGCCACACAGAGTTCTGTCTTTTTACCAAAGTGGAAAATTTTCAAATAAAACACTGAGGCCCTGTGGAACTGGCTGAAAACAAGTCTGCAGTTTCCCAAGGCTTTCCGCTTTTTAAAAATATATATGATAATTCCATGCAGTGGCCTTGGCGAAATGACCTTCACTAATATGCTTGCTCTCTAATCCTTAAGTCAACCTTATTGATTTTTTTTATCTGTGGGTTCCTTTCACCTCAACTTCCCTGTATTTTGAAGAAATGGCAACTCATTTCCAAAACATGGTTTCAGCAAACCAACAGTGTCATGTCCAACTGCCTAGAGAAATACAAATTCCATCAGCATCCTTGGTCAGATCTTGTATTTGTGTGGCTTCTTCTTGTGAGGAACACAAGCACCATCTGTGGGGTTTTCCCATCCTATTCTCATCACTTCTTAGGGAGAAAAAGAGTCAGCTGATAAACAAGTGGGCACAACTGAACCACATTGAAATAGGATGGGGGAAAGATGGGAAGTTGGGCTGTGGGGGGAGTCTCAGGTCTGCTAGCTCTACCAGGATGGGGCCCACTCAGCAGGAACATGCAAGACAAAGGTGTCCCTCTGGACCCCTGAGGTAGGCCTCTGGAAAGCAACAGAACCCTCAAAAGTGATTTTTCGGGTATTGAAAGGGAACAACAAGAGAAAAAACCATTTCTTGTTGCTATCGTGTGTCCTTTCAAGTTGCCTCAGAAAAACTTCATTCCTTAGCATGGAAGATTTTAGAAATACTTGAGCCAAACAAGGGTCCTTGAAAGATGTAGCATAATATATTCAAATGCCCAAGTAGCAACAAAGTCATTTCATTTTACTTTGTTTCCTTTAAAACATTGATCGTTATTTGTAATTATTTATTTCTTCACTTCTCTGCTGTCTGCCTCCTCACTAGACTGTGAACAACTTGAAGGCAAGGACCATCTTTGTTTTGTGCACCACCGTAAGCTAAGTTCCTTCTGCAGTGCCTGGTGCCCATTGGGTGCTCAATACATGTGTGTTGAATGAATAAATAGATTCTATTTGTGAAAGAGCCAGACCAAACCTGTGGGCCTTAATGTCGACCCACTCCAACTGAAGCAATAAAAAGCCCCAGGGAAATTCACGAACATACTTTCCCCAGAAACCCTCAGGTCATGAGGGTATCTTGAAAAGACCACGGAAGCAGCTCCAATTTTGCACTGTATTCTACTTTTTGTTGGTTAGGAGTCCTTTACATCCCAGCACGCTGAAAATTGCTTTCAGTTAAAAAGTCTTTGGCCCTAAGTGAGACATTTTGTTCTTCTCTTCTGGTTTATGAGCTCATATTAAGTCCAGTCAGCCTTGACGCTTGTCCTGTTCCAATAAGAAGTGAATCAAGTTAGTTAGCTTAAAATGCCCAAATGCTTATGAAAAAGGCCATTCTTTACCTTTGTCACTCCTAATTCAAAAGAGAGTGCTGTTTCCCTAGTGTGGCATGTTTTTCCCAGGTCAAGGGGTTTCTGTGAGATTTCCTGAGTTCTGCAAAGAAGAGAGTTTGGAAAAAATTATTGTGTTTGGCCTGCCACCTCCCCAAACCCTGAAAATAGTCAATGTTGATCCCTGTACCAAAAACAAACAATAAAACCCAAACAAACCACCCCCTACACACAAACAACACTGTTTCTTCCAAGCGTGTGTTTCTTGTAAGTAGTACGAAGAACTTCAACGTTCCCTTGAAACCTTTTGAGATCTAGAATACAAGATCGAGGACCCCGTTGGAGTCGCCTCCCAAGCAGCACCCTTGCCCTCCAAATCTTCTTTCTCCTGCTGCGGACTTCTTTCTGCCATTATGTATGGAAACTTCTGAAACCCTGCCTGCTCCCTGAAGTTTTTCCCAATTAACCTGAAAAGAAGTGGTCAATTTTGCACCATATGATGTTCTGGAGGAAATATCTGTCTTAACATTCTAGGAATTTTCCAGTGGATTGCAAGCGCCATGGGGACAGGGATCCTGTTTTACTCACCAGCATATTCCTGGTATCTTCAATGCATATCTGTTGCATGAATAAATGAATGTTCAGAACGACTGTTGATGTAATTGCCAACTCTTCACTATATGTTTGGAATCATTACATCTTAGAACAGGAAAACTAAAAGAGAAATTTCATGTAGTCCTAAATATGGCTACTTGACCACCCCATTTAAAGATTATAATCGCCCCACCTTCCCCTCCATGTTTCCAGTCTCTTTTACTTGCTCATTTTTTGCAACACTTACATTTTAACATACAATTTATCTATAATTTGTTATTTATTTTCTTACTCCCCCAACTGGATTGTAAACTCTACAAGAGCAGGGTTTCTTGACTGTTTTATTCGCAACTGTATCCCAGTTGCCCAGAACAGAGCCTGGCACATATTAAGTGCTCAATAACTATTGTCAAGTGAATAAATGAAAGAATAATTATTGAGTATGGACTCCACACATTGGAATCCCTGCAGGAGATTTTTAAACCCCCAGCTCCAACTCTACACCTGTGGTATCAGAATGGTTAGGGAATCCCAGGAATCTACGTTTTTATCAAGGAATCTAGGTGATTCTGGTATAGCTGTCTTGAGAACCACTCATTCCTCCAACTCACTAATCTAGAGATAATCTGAAGCCCAATGAGATAAAGCGTCAGTCCAGCCACATGGGTTATTTAGTGGTGCATCTAAGTATAATAATATCTATTCTAATGAGCTTTCCACTCCAGTCATCTATGAGCCAGATTTACTTAACATGTTTGCTGCCATTGCCATCTTAGTCTTGGAGATTAAGCAACTAAAGGCAAGAATTATGGCTTCTAAACTTACTTTATGGTGCAGTTCAATAGGTAGGAAGGGCATGAGGCTTCAGATAGTAAAGGACTTTTAGAGTCTAATGATGTGTTTGCACAGAAGAACCACCCTATTTCCATGCTAACATGCCACTATTTCCCTTTCTCTTCCTAGTTCCTGGACCTCTCCATTAAGTGGACCACCCAGGAAAACTTTCCTCCAAAGTACCTTCATTATGACCCAGAAACCTCTCGTCAGCTGATGTGTGACAAATGTCCTCCTGGCACCTCCCTAAAACAGCACTGTACAGCGAGGCGGAAGACTGTGTGTGCCCCTTGTCCTGACCACTACTACACAGACAGCTGGCACACCAGTGACGAGTGTCTGTACTGTACCCCCGTGTGCAAAGAGCTGCAGTATGTCAAGCAGGAGTGCAGTCGCACCCACAACCGCGTGTGTGAATGCGAGGAAGGGCGCTACCTTGAGCTCGAGTTCTGCTTGAAGCACAGGACCTGTCCCCCTGGATTTGGAGTGCTACACGTTGGTACGTATCAACACTCAACGTGTGGCAAAATTAATTAGGATCGTACAAAGTCAGGCAGTCCTGAAAGTTTGAGAGAACGCTTTTGTCCTGATGACATTACAGGATAGCAAACTGCAAAGGTAATGAAACCTGCTGGGTATGTACTATGTGTCTGGATTGCTGCCAAAGGACCATTTCTCAGAGGAATACTTTGCCACTACGGGGCAATTTAGTGACAAAACCCAAAACAGCAAATTGCTCTCTAATGACACGTGTGATGGATTGCTCTGTTTTAAAGGGACACACTTGGAGTTGCACTGTTTATAGTTGATATATCCCTCTACGTGTCACGACGGCATAGACAGCCTCAAACTCCAGTCCTTTTTGACAAACATCAGAAATGTTAATTGATACCAAGAGAGTAATTATGCTGATATTAATGAGGCTCTGGAGTGCTCCCAATGAGCAGTTATAATTAATTATGTAAAAAATGAGAATGGTTAGGGGAAATGCATTTCATTGTTAAAAATAAAGCTAGTTCTTTCTTTGGCATGGGAGTTGAGTATCTGGGAGCATCAAGACTGTAGCGGCATCTCTTCATTGAGCTTATTCTTTATCTTAGACAAAACAGATTGTCAAGACAAGAGTAAGTACCTGTCTATAAACAAAGTACTTTCTCTCTTTGGCATTTTGACTAGCATAGGTTAAGGCCAATGTGCATTGAATCTTTTAAAGCTGCAACCCACATTTTTTTCTACCACATTTGTGAAGCTTCAATGTAGTCTGTATTCTCTCGTGGCTTGGGAAAATTAAGAGTCTTCGCTTACTTTTCTGGAGGAAGTAGTAATCAGTATGGATTCTGATTACTCTGAAGCAGTGTTTCTCAGCCTCAGTGCTATGGACATTTTGGCTGGATAATTCTTTGTGTGGGCAGCTGTCCTGTGCATTGCAGAGTGTTTAGCAGCATCCCTGCTCTCTAGCCACTACATTCCCATAGCACTCCTCCTCCAATTGAGACAACCAAAAATGTCTCCAGACATTTCCAAATGTCCCCTGGATGGCAAAATCGCCCCTGGTTGAGAACCACTGGTTTTAGAGGTTGCTAATTATTGGTAACTATTTTAACTTTTCAGAAGTTGTGGTATACAGAGTCTAAATTATTAGAATGACAAATACTTTCAGTTTAAAGGCATACAAAGGAAACATATTCAAAAATTGAAATCTATTAAGTTTCCTAAGTTGTGAATCTTATAAAATTAATCACAGAAAGTGAAAATTGCATGAGTGCCCCTTAAAATGTCTCTAGTATGGGTATTTGAGGGAGAAGTTGGTGGCAATTCCTAGCTTTCATTGAATGATACTTTGGGACTCAAAAGCTAAGCCAAGTTGTAGGAGGGGAAGCCCATCCAACAAAAACAAATCCATTTAATTCAATTCAGTATGTTGTGTATGTAGAAAAATTTGTTAAGCAGGAACTATACAGCTTGGAAACTAAAGTTTTGAAAAACAGTGGAGATAGCAAGGATTTTTCTCACATAAACATGAAAATCTGTTGGTAGAATGAAGTAAGCAGGCCGCCAGAAGACTTAGGACAAAGGTACACATTTTATTTTGTGCCACTACAGTGAGGCTTATTTACCTCTCCCTCCCTAAAACCCCACAGAGTAGTTTCTCATGGAAAATAAGAGGTTTCCAGCCCAAAGGAAAGGAAGGACTATGTGGTGTTATTCTAAAAAGTATTTAATAACCATTCCTTTCGTTGTTGAAGTCAGATTGTCTCCTCTCGATATTTTATTTACTTCATTCTATTTGTCAGTTCTATAATTCCTCTGTCATTACTTATGGCTAGCATGGTGACATTCTCAACTGTAAGGCAGAACTCCTCTCATCATTATGATATTCCACATTTTGCCTGCCAGATGGTACTTTTTATATGTTCCCACTGATACTGATAAGGCAATATCGTTTACTTAGGTGGAGAAATCTTTTTTTATAAGAATTTCTATCAATTATAAAAGAGGGAAGTCCTGTTCAGAAAGGTCATTAGGTAAAGCCTCCAAATATATTAAGAAACTTTACTTCTGTCTTTCTTGGGTTCCTTTTGTTAAAGAACCATAAAGGCTAAATTACCTGAAAGAATGTCTTGTGCCTATGATTTTCTCATTGGAATGTGTGAGAAGACCCAACCCGCCAATATGTGTCTGAAGAATGACAAGATTCCTCTTTGTGAAGTTGGCTTTCCAGAACATGTGGCAGTTGGTAAAGGGAGACTAGGATCCAGATGTCCAAGTCCAGTTACTCTCAGAATATTAGCAATGAACGAACACCATGGAATCCCCTCCCAAATACCTCTGCTTATATTGTAGAATTTGGTGTGGAGTTGGATCCCATTTAAGGAGAGGGCTGTAGTAAGAAAGTACTTAAAAAAATAGACTTCTTTATAAGGTGGTTCCTAAGATGTTGTCACTGCAATGCTAGAAATGGCATTTAATATGTGAAAGTGTCAGGCCTGTTGCTTTCACCCCACTTCTTTTGTCCCGCCAGCGCTTTGTCATTTTACTGGTCAATGCACCATCAGTCCCTTTAGAAGACTCGGGAGATGAAATTAGAACCAAACCATTTTGCTCTTTTTTTTTCCTCTGGTTTTGATACAATAAGGTGGGAGATTCGAATTTTTAGTAAATGAAGTTTATTAACTTTCTGTAGCTTTCCTTTGTCCCTTTTGTATTTATTCTCTTGCATAAACCAGAATTGGCCTGTGAAAGCTACATTTGAATATTGAAGTCTAAATCTGTTCAACTAGCTTACACTAGATGGAGGCATTTTCGTATGCAAATACACTGTAATGTATGATCTATCCATGCATAATAGAGTCAAAAGTTTTAAGGTATTTATTTTTAATAGCATCTTTAGTTGTTGACTCGTTCAAGTTTTCCTACCAATGTTTTCTCCACATTTATCAAGTATCTTTCCACCATGAAATAAAATGCCTTGCAGTCACCCTTCCCTGAAATTTTCACGACTGTGCTCTTTTAAAACTCAACAGTTTAAGCAAACGGTTTATCATCTTCCATTTACTGTGGAACTTAACTGCAGCTTACACTTTTGAGTTAGTAGCTAACTTTATTGCCACCTTCAAAAGTTTATTATAATGTTGTAAATTTTTACTTCTCAAGGTTAGCATACTTATGAGTTGCTTCACAATTAGGATTCAGGAAAGAGAGAACTTCAGTAGGAACCGATTGGAATTTAACGATGCAGCATTCAGTGGTTACTGATTTCGAGAATGATATGACAGCGGTTACACAGCAGTTATCTTCATGATTTTCTAGGAATAATTTTGTGAAGAATATGGTTGACAACAACACTTTGCTGACACTTCGGCCTAGACAGGACTAATGAACACCCTACCCTTCTTTCCTTTCCTCTCACATTTCGTGAGTGTTTTGTAGGTAACTGCAGAACAGATTTGTGTTTGTATTACAAGGAGAGGAGCCTGCCTAAGGGGCTAACTGTAGAAGTTTTGTTCTGTCTGTCTAATGAAGTGAAAAATGAAAATGTCTGAAGTTTTTTGTGCAACCCAAGAGAAAAGTCTTTTCAAAACTGTGTTAAGAGGCATTTGCTGTGAAAGTCTTTGAGAAGAAGTTGCTAAATTGCTTGGTATTTTCTGTAGGAACCCCAGAGCGAAATACAGTTTGCAGAAGATGTCCAGATGGATTCTTCTCAAATGAGACGTCATCTAAAGCACCCTGTAGAAAACACACAAATTGCAGTGCTTTTGGTCTTCTTCTAACTCAGAAAGGAAATTCAACGCATGACAATATATGTTCTGGAAGAAGTGAATCAACTGAAAAATGTGGAATAGGTAATTATATTTCAAGCTATCAGCCTCTGTACCACCTCTGAGTTGAATACAAGACCCTCTGGCCACCTTCTTAGTCAAAACCATATTTTCTCTGTCTTGAATTTTAACCAGCTAAGACTATTCTCTGTGCATCTTTGCTAAAGCCACAACTCAAAATCCTTCAAAAAGTCCTCATCCTCTCACAGATCACACTCCAAACCCTGACTTTCTCTCTTTCACACTTGAATCCAATCTTTCTCATGGGGAAAGGGGTGTTGTAAGGATTATATCTAAGGCCAAATTATCAGAGTCCAATGCTCCTAGTTATGCATTTTTATCACTTTTAAGAATATTTATAGTATTAGCCAAAGTATAAATTGGCAACTAAGAAGCATAGTGACATAAACTGGTGACACATTAGAAATGCAAAACTGACTTTGTTACCTATGGTATTACTGCATCTATTGCACAGAAGTTCCAACTTCCTCTGGTTGTCTTAAACTCTTTATTCAAGAAGGGTCACTAGCTCCAAGCTCAACTTATCTGAATGCATCCATGTTGGTGATGACACTAATCAGGTTGGTGTCCTCAGCCTGTCACTCTTCCCACTAGACTAATCACAGACTTTCTACCAAGGGCTCATCACACCAAGGATGATCTGTCTTTTAGCATTTAACAAAGCAAAGTCATGAACTAACTTGACTCTCCCCAAACATCTTTTTGTACGACAAGGAAGTATATGAAACATAGGAATATGAGTTGGGAGATTTAAGATTCTAACCCAGTTCCACCATTCTTTCACTGTGTAATAGAAATCTTAGACAAGTCATTTAGCCTTTCTGCTTTCTTATCCAAAAAAATGGAATGAGGGAAGAAGTTGTAAAAGGAGTGACTTCTAACTTTAACATTCTCTTTACTTAATTCACTTTTTAATTTTATTTTTATCATTCATTGAGCACTTACCATGTGCCAAGTACTTTGCTATAAAGACTTGAATATTTACAAAAACATTGTGAAGGTTGCTCATGTTCAATATAGGTGGTGAATGGCAGAGCCAGGATTCAAACCCGGGCCTGATGAATCCAAAGACAAACTGTTAATATCTGGGATACGCTGACCCTATGTAGACACCCAGGCCATTGTACCTCATTTCCAAATGACATGTTTGTTGTGTGTGATTATTTTCCCACTTAATTTATGCTTATATGTCTATATCCATCCTTGTTCCCAAAGGTAAACTATGTGTTTGTATATGTGCAGAAAATAATATACCATTCCAGATTACCTTTTAAGCTCCTTTAAAGGCAATGATTTATGTTTATTTTGACACTGATCTTGAAGTATCCTGTCAGCACTAGGTAAACCCTTAACAGAATATTAATACTTATATTAAATCATAGAATTTTTGCTACAATTTATAGCAATATTACATTCTCATTGGACATGTATTAACCTTTCCTCAAAAAAATGCCCTAAAAGAACGTTAGAAAGAACATAAGCCCAGTTGGGTTGGCAATCTACCACTAAGACCAGCCAACAGAATAAATCAGCCAAAGTTCGTTCAATCTTTACATCTTAGCATATTATGTCTTGGAAAACTCAATTGTGTTGGTTTTTTAATTTTGGTTTTTGTCCAATAGACTTCCAAGAATCCAATTGTTGAGTAAATCTTCTTGGTTTTCCCACCTTCCTTTAGATGTCACCCTGTGTGAGGAGGCATTCTTCAGGTTTGCTGTTCCTACCAAATTTACCCCTAACTGGCTAAGTGTCCTGGTAGACAGCTTGCCTGGCACCAAAGTAAACGCAGAGAGTGTAGAGAGGATAAAACGGCGACACAGCTCGCAAGAGCAAACTTTCCAGCTGCTGAAGTTATGGAAACATCAAAACAAAGACCAAGATATGGTCAAGAAGATCATCCAAGGTATGGCAACCAGAAATAAACAAGTGATCAGGAATCAAAGACACCCATTTATCATAGAACAGGAACAAGACTATGTACTTGTTTAGTTGTGTGAATGGTTTCCCTTTTGGAATTATTTTTGGACTGAAAAATCTTTCACCAAGTGATAGTGTAGATACTATTCCTAGAGCAGTCATGCAAAGTTTTATTCTCACCTCCTCCACCCCTCCCCACCGATTTCTTTTTAAAGTGTGTTGAACACTCTAAAAGAGGAGCCAGTACATTTCAAATGCAGGACTAGACCTCAGGAAATCTGCCATTAGCTCACTTAGCAGTGTTATGACCATCTCCTCTGGCCTACCTAGAAGTTCTTTAACCACTTTGAATCTTAACCTTGCATTTCCACCAAGAAGCTAAGTTGTATTTATTTGGTAATTCTCTCCTGAGAGCCTCTAAGTGTCTTACAGATACCCTTTCATTAATCCTCACAATATAGCCTACTTTCAAATTACCATTTTAATAGCATATGTTGTGGGGATTAATGAGATAAAGTCTGTAAAGTGTTTGAGCTTCTTGGAGAAAAGGGCTAGTTAAAACCAAGGACTCTCATATTTCAAAGGTCTATAAAGAATCTCCTTTAGAAACTGTGAATGAGCTCGCGCGGGGGTGTGTATGTGTGTGTGTGTTATGATGGGAGAGAATCCAAAAGGGAAAAGTACATTTCATCCAGTGTGGACTGTAAGCTTTAGGATATACAGTGGAAAGAGTTCTGACTTAATGGGAAGACATGTCAGAAAAAATGAGGGAGAGTTTTTATAATGCAGACAATGTCAATGAGAAACCCATTCTGCTCTTCACTTGTCGTTCAATGACTGAGGAGTTCTACACTACCCTCAAGGCCTCAAACATCTGAAACCAAGGCAACAGATTTTAGGAGACTAACATCTTTGACAGCTGAATGCTTTCACTTATGCAAAGAGTAAACTTTTCTTCTGCTTGTGGCAAACAAAACGTATTCTTTGAAAGTATAATTAGCCCTGAAGCAAAAAGAAAGGAAAGTAGAGAATCAGCGACTGTTAGAATCAGAAGGGACCAAATCTCTATTTTATAAATGAAGACATTTCAGCCCAGAAAGATGGACTGACTTGCCTTAGGGCTCACAGATACTAAATGACTCATGTCATTACAGAAATCTTAGTTACTCCCTCTTATGTTTATGTCCTAGCTCATTACTGAAATATTCTCTGGGGCATGTGTATCCCTGCATTCCTTGGCCTCCTATTATTGGGTTTTCAGATCTCTTTCTCAGTGGTGGTAATCCTCTGGTGCTATTTATTAAAGACTAGTTGCTAACTCTTTTCAAATAGTACATGTGTCAGTTATCAACTAATGAAATTTACAAAATAACTAACTTGAATACTTCATTTTTCTGAAATGTTATAGGTTTAATTTCTCAGACTTGTCTTAGAAAACTGAGAGTGGTGTGTCTATAATTTTCTACTATTACTTTTCAAAATTAGGGCTTTTCACACAGCTTTATTGGATATCTAGAATATATAAAGCATATTATCCCATTAGAACACAAAATAATATTTATGTCAGTTCTCAGAAATAGCTAGCATCACTTAAGCCCTCCAAAGAAAGAAAGGAAAAGGTTATCCTTAAAATAAAGTTATGAAACTCTGGGGGAACCATTTGCCTCAGGGTAGTTTTGTGGTGGCACTAGAAGAATGTCCATGATGTGAACTTTCTTTGGGCTTTTGCTTTATGCAGATATCGATCTCTGTGAAAGCAGTGTTCAGCGGCACATTGGGCACGCAAATCTCACCTTCGAGCAGCTTCGTAGCTTGATGGAAAGCTTGCCGGGGAAGAAAGTCACAACAGAAGACATTGAGAAAACAATGAAGGCATGCAAATCAAGTGAGCAGATCTTGAAGCTGCTCAGCCTGTGGAGAATAAAAAATGGCGACCAAGACACCCTGAAGGGCCTAATGCATGCACTAAAGCACTTGAAAACATACCACTTTCCCAAAACTGTCACTCAGAGTCTGAAGAAGATCGTCAAATTCCTTCACAGCTTCACGATGTACAAATTGTATCAGAAGCTCTTCTTAGAAATGATAGGGAACCAGGTCCAATCAGTCAAAATAAGCTGCTTATAACCGGAAATGGTCATTGGGCTGTTTCCTCACAATGGACCAGATCCGATGGATGAATAAACTGTTTCTCAGGCACTTGACAAGGGGTACAACGATTTCTTTCTCATCACCAAGGACTGGATTTGGCCACAGGGCACAAAAAGAAACTATGTTTTGGAGAAAGAACTTAACATCTCCCTCCAAAGTTCAATAAACCCCAAATAGTTTATCCAACTGACAGATCTGGTCCAATATCTACTGACTATGTTTTCCCTTATTACTGCTTGCAGTAATTCAACTGGAAATAAGAAACTAGACTCCATTGTGCCTTACTAAATATGGGAATGTCCAATTTAAATAGCTTTGAGATTTTAGCTGTGCTGGAGGCTTTTATTAGAAAGCCATATATTTTTCTCTGTAAAAGTTACTAATATATCTGTAACACTATTATAGTATTTGCTATTTATATTCATTCAGATAGAAGGTTTGTACATATTATCATCCTAAAGGGAAATTGTGTAAGACTTAATATTAGAAAGAAAAAAATATATGTTCTGTTTATTATTATGACAAATGAAAGAGATAAAATATATTTTTTAATGGAAAGTTTGTAGCATTTCCTAATAGCTACTGCCGTTCTTCCTGTGTGGAGTGTTTTTGTAATATAATTTTATCTGTATAAGCTGTAATATCATTTTATAGACAATGCATTATGTAGTCCATTGTTTAATGTTGGAAAGTGTATGAAATATAAATTATCTGAATATTAGATGCTCTGAGAAATTGAATGTACCTTATTTAAAAGATTTTATGTTTTTACTATATAAACAACATCATTAAAGTTTTCAAATTATTTTTCATTGCTTTTCCTCTTGCTTTTATTTGAATGGGACATTGATGAGTCTGAGCTGACACAGTTTTCTGTTCTTTTATCATCAGGACCACCTGGGAATTGTTAAAAATGCAGATTCTTAGACCAATTTATTGAGAAACTCTGGGGAGGAGGGCAGAAACTTGCGTTTTTAACAAGTTCCAAAGTAATTCTTATTACACTAAAATGGGAGAACTTCTGAAGTCAAGCTTAGTATACCAATGGTACAAACCGTTCATAACTGCTGCCACTAGAATCTAGAGGCCAAACTATGTAATTTCTTTTGGTTGCAAATAATAGACTGGCACTACTTAGTTTAAGAAAAATTAATTGGAAGGATGGTGTATTGGGTTGAATGGTGGTCCCCCCAAAATAGGTTCACATCATAATCCCCAGAACCTGTGAATGTTTCCTTATTTAGAAAAAGGGTCTTTGTAGATATAATTAAGTTAAACATCTTGAGATGAGAAAATCATCCTGGATTACCCAGGTGGGCTGTAAATCTAATGACAAGTGTCTTTATAAGAGACACACAGAGGGGACAGAAGAGGAGAAGATGATGTGAAGACAGAGACAGAGATGGGAGCAATGTAGCCATAAGCCAAGGAAGCTAGGAGAGACAAGGAAAAGTTTCTCCCCTAGATACTCTGTAGGGAGTACAGCCTTGCTGATGTCTTGATTTTGGATTCTAGCCTCCAGAACTACGAGAGAATTCATTTCTGTTGTTTTAAGCCACGCAGCTTATGGTAATTTGCTACAACAGCCAGAAGAATCTAATATAGATTGTATCCAAGCCTCAGAAATGGCAGAATTAAGATAACTCTGGGCCCCTTGGGAGTAGAAGTTCCTACACTTTCTCCTAGTCTTACATTTCTGTATCTTTCAGTTCAAAATTTCAAATTCCTAGGAGATTGACTCTGGTTGTCCTCGATTGGGACTGGTGTAAAGACATGGCCAGTGAGGGTCTGTCTTTGTTAGTCAGTTGCAGTTCACAGGAATGGGATGTCATTGTGCACAGGGTCCACTATATCGCATTCTTTCACAGTCTATGTTCCTCTTCTCTCTCATTTTACTATGATTTAGAATGTAACGTTGGCACGGATCCACCCTACCTTGGTCAAATCAGATCATAACTGGCCACTTTGACAGAAGGGTAGATCAGGTAAATATCACATCAACTCATAAATCTGGGGAAATAAAAAGCAGAGGTGAAATCAAGAGGCTCAAACCTGGAGAATCAGAATTCCAACGTTGCAATACTTGAAGTAAAAAAAAATGTGGAGTTTAAGTGCTGAGAGTATCAGCAGGAGGACAGGAGTTAACTAATAACCTACAACTTTCCCTTCAGAAGCTCCAGTTCTTGCACCAAAGTTCCTATTTGCAGAAGATGAAATGGCCTACACACTTACCTAAGTCGAAGAAATGTTTGAAAGTTAATGGCATCAAGTGTAAATCATTCAAATGATAATTTGTTTGGCTTCCCTGGCTGCTCCTTTGGGTTCGGTCTACCTCAAGTGTCTCCTCCAAGGGAGATATAATACATAACTTCATGTCAGTTTCTCTTTTTCTAAACTTTTAAGTTTGAAATAATTTTAGATGTACAGAACCATCAAAAAGATAGTATATGCCTCAATTTCAGTCTGTCTTATGTTTTCTCATGAATAGACTGGGGTTACGGATTTGGGGGAAGAAAATCATGTAGGTGATACTTCTCATCACATCATATCAGGGGCAAATGACATCAGCATGACTAATTACTGTTGATATTAATCTTCATAACTGAGATAATTTTTATTTTTTTTGGCAGGGGAAGATTTGTCCTAAGCTAACATCTATCACCAATCTTCTTCCCTTTTTTTTCTGCCTTTTCCCCAACCCAAAGCCTCAGTACATAGTTGTGTATAGACGTAAGTTCTTCCTGTTCTTCTGTGTGAGCCACCGCCACAACATGGCTACTGACGGGCGAGTGGTGTCGTTCCACGCCCAGGAACCATACCTGGGCCACCCAAGCAGAGCATGCCGAACTTTAACCACTAGGCCGTGAGGGCTGGCTCAAGATAATTTTTATATAAGATGTGAGATCTGCATTAAGGTCCTTCTTTTTTGGCATATAATCATCCAGTTGTTCTAGGAGGATTCGCATTTCAAAATCTAGCATTTCTAGACTAGCATGTCTCCACTTAACTGTCTTTGCATCTTTGTCAAAAATCGGTTGATAATATTTGTGCAGGTAGATTTCTGGACTCTCTATTCTGTTCCATTAGTCTATAAGTCTATCCTTTCCCCAGTACCATACTGTCTTAATTACCATTACTTTATAAATCTTAAAGTTATTTCTGATGATTACTGTCACTTGGGATTTTGTAGTTTTTTTCTTGCCTTTTTTGTATGACTCATAATTTTTTACTAAAAGCCAATATGGTGTAGGTCAGTAGAAACTGAGGTAAATAGTTTTTATTCCTGGACATGGACATGCCTTTCCTTGTGCCAGACCTTTAATGGAAAGCTTTGCATTAATCCAGTTAGTAATTGGACTGGTTTTGTGATTTTATTTTATTTTATTTTTGCTATTGTTATAGTCAGTGCATCACAGGTTTCAAATTCCTATAGATAGCTTGTTTCTAGGGTGGTGGATGTGTATCAGAGCAATGATTGTTTGACTGTGAGTTGTAGGTCTTCCCTTTGAGCTGTGCCTCAAAGAGGTTCTCTTTGCACACTTGCTGCACGCTCTCAGCAGTATTTTGCTATTACTTGTCATTTGAAACTTTTAGCTTCATGGTGGGGGGATGGAAGGTACAGTGTCTGTTGTTCTGACACATGCTCTTAGGCATACCTGTATCCTTGGGGTGTGTGGCCTTCTCAGGTCTCCTGCCCCTCCCCTGCCTGCAGCTGTGGGTTCAGCACTTAATCCTGCCCCTTGTCCCAAGAATAAACTTTTCCGTCCTGCTGTTCCCTTTCCTCAGCTGCAATAAGTGTTCACCAATATCCTAGAGGCAGCAGTTTTACCCTTCCCGCCTCCCCTCAGATTAATGCTTTTGTTCTTCTGGATGAGGTGTCTTGCCCTCCCTACCGGCCTACTGCCCCTCTCTCCAAGATTTCATGTTTTCTGATCTCTTCGGTGAGTGCTCAGTGGAATTCATGGAGAAAGAGCCTGCAAAACTGTTGGAGGAGGTCATCTAGGGGACATGATTACCAGCTGACCTGAGAGCTGGACCTGGGCAATAGGAGGCTGCTCGTCCCCTTCCCTGTCCTGTGGGAATAGTACGTTCCACCCACCATTCCCACAGCGGGAGCCATTTCAAGGACATAATCTTGAGAGAGCAACGTGTTGTTGAGACCATCTGGACTGATTATGTGACTGAAACCAGTTAAGGCCTCTATATAAAATTTTAAGATCCTGGCGGGTGAATGTGGAGATCTACTCATTTTGTGGCCGCCCAAGACAAACCTCCTAAGTAATGTTTCTTGCTGATTAAACCAGCCACCTACCAATCTGGAGTGGTCTGCCTCTTTCCTCAGTCTGTCATTGGCCTCCTCGTATAGGGGCCAGTTTCAGATTTCACCCAAGAAGCTCCTGAGGTTGTGAACCAACAGAAAGGGTACAGACTCCCCCAATTTCTACAGCATCGAGTTTCATACTGTTCCACCAGCCCACATGCAGCCTCCATCAAGTTTTCAGCTGTCCTGGCTGAGCTCTTCTTAGTAGTGTCCAGTTTCATCTGCACCAAGTAGGCACATATTTGTATGTCCTCTATCGCTGGAATCACTGTCTCTGCTCAGTTTTGGGCCAGTTATTTGTTCTGTGACTCTGGTCTCCAATGAGTGTTTACTTGTTTGTTTTAAATTAAGACCATTTTTAAGAGTGGTTTTAGGTTTGCAGAAAAGGTACAGAGATTTTCCTTATACCCCCGTCCCCATACTTGCACAGCCTCCTCCATTATCAACATCCCTCACCAGGGTGGTACATTTGTTACAATTGGTGAACCTGCATTGACACATCATTATCATCCAAAGTCTGTAGTTTACATTATGGTTTATGCTTGGTGTTATACATCCAATAAGTTTTTTTTTTTTTTTTAAGTCATGAATTTGAGCTCAGTTTGGTTCTTTTTTGTCATAAGTTTGGGAGCCTCACTAACTCCAGGTCTCTACATCCTCCAGCTCTATACATTCTTCCCAGGCAGAAGCCAGAACTTATCAGTCCATTTTGTTGTTTGAAGACTTGATGTGAAAGATTGGATGGGAGTTAAAACTATCGTCATGAGTCCAGATCCACTGTCTCCTCTTGTCTATCCAGAAACCTACACAGTTATGAAGTGTTTTTCTTGAGTTACTACTATAGACTAAAGGATTTAGACCAAGAAACACTTTTGAAATCCTTATTCTAGACCCGTCTTAAATATTCTATAAAGTTTTTATTTATATAACTGTGATTTTCTATTATACCTATTTTATTAAGCATCTTACTCGATAGACTATCTTCAGTATTTTATTCATATGCTGAAAATCTAATTTAATTTGTTGAAAAAATGTTTTTGAGTGCCAAATTAGAGTACTCAAAACAATGTACTTTATACCCAGTTCTAAGCAAGAGATACAGTGGTAAACCATCTCTACTCTCAGGAGAATAGTCTTAGGTTGTTTTAATTTGCTATTTGTGAAACCATCCCTGTCAAACAGAACGGTGTTTATGAATGGGTATAGAGATGAACATTAGAGAAAGGAAGAGGTTTAAGGACAGAGAACTCTACGCTCTTCTTTACCCGTGGAGAGATCAATAGCCCTGGAAGTAGCTCCTTTCCAAAACACTTAGCACCTTTGGAGATGTTTCCTAAACTGATGCCCAAACTCAATTTGAGGGATAAACTTTTACTATTCTCTTCCCTTGATCAAAGTTCATAACAGGGGCTGTTGGTTCAATTAGTGTAATTATGATTGTTGATATTGAATACAACTACACTCTAATTCTTTGACTTTCTTGTTGCGT